GCACGTGCGCGACTTTGCCGCCACTTTGACGCACCTCGTGCCATTGTACCTCCCCCTGCAACCTCCATCCGCTGAAGTGCTCGCAGAGCACACCCAGTTGGCAGCGTCCTTTAGCATTGAAGCATTGGCCGACACGCCCATCGACGTCAAAGACGGCTCGTTCCGCCGATGGACCATCCACGACTACACGAGCCGATACAAAGCCGGGACTGCCACGCCGTCGCAAGTCATCGCAACGGTGCTCGACGCCATCGACGCTTCGAATGCATTGTCCCCTCCCTTGTTGGCGTTCGTCAAAGTCAATCGGGACGCCGTTCTCCAAGAAGCTGCCGCCGCCACTGAACGATATGCACGCGGCACCCCCCTGGGAGTGCTTGATGGCGTTCCCGTCGCCGTGAAAGACGAGGTATGTTGGATATAGTATTTATTCATCACACCAAATATATCAACGTAGTCATTCCTGCTCACTTTAATCCCTTGCTGTAGCTCAATGTCGTCGGGTACACGACTTCATTCGGCACGTCGTTCATGAACGACATGGCTACCGAGGACGATGCTCCCATCGCTCGCCTTCGCCAAGCTGGCGCCATATTCGTGGGGAAAACCAACATGCACGAGATCGGCATGGGGACGTTTGGCATCAACATCTTCACTGGCACCCCTCGCAACCCATACAACGACCAGCACATGACCGGCGGGTCCTCCAGCGGGTCTGCCGCGGCCGTGGCAGCTGGCCTCGTGCCCCTCGCCATCGGCTGCGACGGAGGGGGGTCGATTCGAATTCCCGCCGGATTGTGCGGCATCGTGGGGATCAAGGCCACGTACATGCGCGTTCCGTTCCACTTTCAAGGCGGTCCCAGTGTCGCGAACGTCGGGCCGTTGGCAGCCACGGTGCAGGATCTGGCGTTGGCGTACGCGGTGCTCGGTGGGGCCGACCCCGACCAGCCGTTGAGTGTGTGCCAGCCCCCGCCGTTCGTGCTGCCCCCCTCGACGCCTCCGTCCTTGGCAGGGCTCCGGGTCGGCGTCTTTTCTGCCTACGTCGAAGGGTCGGATCCGCAGATTAAATCGGCGTTCTGGGACACCGTCGCGTACTTGAGAGAACTGGGGGCCACGGTGGTCGAAGTGGAAATTCCCCACCTCCAAGCGCTGCACTTGAGTCACTCGATCACGATTTTGACCGAGATTTCACAACATTTTGATTCCCAACCGGTAGCATCGTTCAGCCCCGACGTTCAAATCGCATTGGCTTTGGGAAAACAAACGTTGGACTCAGCCGACTTCTTGGCGGCCCAAAAAATTCGTGCGTACGCCTTGGGAGTGACTAACCAGTTGTTTCATCAAGTGGATGTGTTCCTAACGCCAACCACTGCAACTTTGGCTCCTCGACTGGAAAACGACGTGTTCAAGGCGGGGCTGTCGGAATTGTCGCTTACGACGGCCTTGATGCGGTACATTATCCTTGGAAATATGGTGGGCATTCCAGGATTGTCGGTCCCAATCGGCTTTGCTGACGAGTCGAATTTGCCGATATCATTGCAGTTGCAAGCCAAACACTGGAACGAGCACGTGTTGATTGACCTGGCGCGCACATTGGAAGCCCGTGCTCCGACCAAAAAGCCAACCTTGTACTTTTCAATCCTCGAACCGTCTTCGGCATAGGTATCTCGCACGAGGATTGCTGCGTAATGCTCGTAATTCATTCTTTGAATACATTTCTGTCGATCAACACCTCCGCCTTGAATTCGTTAGTTCGTGGGAGGCTCTCAGTGGTGAACCAGGTTACGTACCTGTAGTAGGCGTGCTTAGCGGTGTCCCTCGCTTTTAGCTTGACGCGTTCGCTTCTGCTCCAGGTTTCTCTTGCGCATGCAACGTCGTCGACGTCGTTGTGGTAGCCGTCGTGTGTGTCGTATTAAGCAAATTCAAAAATGAGAATTTGGCGGGGAATGTATATACAGTTTTCAAGTATGCTCAACAACTTCAACTATCCGGATGCTTTACCGGCGGTACTTGAGCAAGATCTATTAGATTTGAACTTGTCAACAAACACCATGGAGAACGTGCTGGCCGACGAACAAGACACATGGCGAAAGAACTACTTGAAGGAAGTCCAAGTCAGTCGGAGTCTAGCCAAGCAACTCCAGGTCCTACGTCTCGCTCTCTCTTGATGAAGATGCGTCGAGTCCTGACGAGATACCTCATGATAGGAATGCGAGGGCAAGCTCGAAGCTGCTTTAGAGAAAGGCCAAGACACACCGGAAACCCCCGATTGTTCCAAATGCCTAGTATTGGAGCGTGAACTCGATGTACTGCGGGCGCGGCACAAGTCTGTGATCACAAAGTTCAAACTTCTCGAAGAAGAGCTTGCTCATGCACGGAAGTCGCCCCTGATGCAACTGTTGAGCCCAAAGCGCAAGCACAAACCACCGCCTCCCACGTCACCCAAAGCTGACCAAAACCCTGCAAGTGTGCCCGAAAGGAAGCAAAGCGTGCGGAAACCTCCCCCCACAAGGGCAGAGATCGACCAAGCTTGTCAAAGGTGCGGTTCTCGGCTAGAACCACACGACCTAACAACGTATGTGTTATCTACCGCTGTGTAGTGTATTTCGCGAAAACAACAACATTCCCCAGGTGTTACAAGCGGCAGCGGCATCCAGCGACACGGAACTCTTCCATCACGGGATCCTCTTTGGATACCCCGACGAGGTCGTTCCCGACCCATCCAAAGACCTCAAACACAAGGACGACAAAACGGTTGACTCTACCTCATCTTGGCTGGGCAAAATGCTCAAGTCCCCTCCCACGTCGCCGTCCCAAGCCCATCCTCCATTTCGAAAACCCAAAGTACGACAAACACCTTTTCCTTTATAAACCAGAAAGAATAATATATATATATATATTTAGATCATGAGCGTATTTCCATCGGCGGCTTCGCTGGCAGACGTGGAGCCGATGATGGAGTTTTGCTTTCCCCATGGGGATTCCCACCACGGCGGAGGCTTTTCCGGCGGCGACGACGACGATCTGTCGTTTGTGGTGCTGCTGTCTGGCACCCAACCCGCTCAAGTCAGTACTTATCTGTTTCTTGTGTTATGTTTGGCTCTTATACTTTTGGGTATTATTTATATATATATATATATATATATATATATTATTAAAAGTGAATGTTTGGGATAGAACATGTATGCGATCTGCGTGCTGCCGTCGCAACGACCGGTGCGATGCTACTGCCTCGTCAGCGTCCATCCGTTTTTCAGCTTGTTTGTCAAACTGTTACGGGGGATCGTGGGCATGTGCCACAACCACACGCCTCAAGCTGGTACAATCAACCTATGAAATGAATATATATATATATATTTCGTGGTGAAGGATATATTTGCTCCTTTCGAATACATTCACATATATATTTATTTATTCACGATCGCGTAACGTGTGTGTACTGATTGACATATGTACCTATCTAAACCTAGTCCAAGTGATCTTTGACGATGCCCTCCGCCGACTCCACGGCACGCCGGTGCCGCCCATGGGCGGGTGGTGCAGCTTCCGACTTGACCCACAGCACCCCCTGCTCACGTTCCACCGCCCGCACACGTCCACAACCCGCCACGAAGCGCGCCAGTTCATCCTCGAGTATACATCTCCGCGTCTGTTTTCCAAAGTCAGTTTGGACCACCTGCTCGTGCTCCTCGGATGTCTCTGCTGCGAAGTCAAGGTGCTCCTGAAGTCGTCCGACCCGTCCCTTCTCACGTCGTGTGTGCTTGCGGTGCGGGCGTTGCTGGATCCGTTTGAATGGGTATTGTGAATGGGGTTCTTTTAAAAAATATATATGGGGATATGTATGTATTGTAGGCCGGCGTGGTGGTGACGCTGTTGCCGCCGTCGTTGGGAGAAATCCTCGAAGCGCCCGTGCCGTTCCTCGTTGGCCAAGTCACTTCAAAGCAGCATTCTTGTCATCATTCGACCCGATCTTCAGTTCCGTCACTCGTGCAACTCGACATTGACACGAACACGTTGATCATGGACGACCAAGAGATGGAGGTACTGCATGAACTCAAGCTTCCCCGAAGCGATTCGCTCCAGTTCCAGCTGCAGTCGTACGCGTCGACGTGTTTTGGCAGCGACCTGTCCCCCCAAAGCCTCGAGCGGCACCACGTCGAGGCCTGCGAACACATGAGCGCGTGCATTCAGTCGCACTTGGCATCGCTCTTGGACCCGTCCCAGCACCAGCACGACGCACCCTTTCTCCATCGATTCCACTCGACCCAAATGTACAGCATCGCGTCGTCCGAGTGCAATTTGAACGAATTGGAGGACGTGTCTGGTGGAGCAGGGAGCGATTTAGAAGGGGAGTCGACGTCGTATGAGCCGACCGCGTAATAACAAACATCATACTAAACGAAACCATCTCAAGGCCTGGACCGTTGGTTATGTGATTACAACAGTACAAGCCAATAAAAGTACTGTAAATTAGCTGCCGAGATCCGATCTCTGCATGTACGCTTCTTATGGAAGTACTACATGTATTAATAGTAATGCTATTGTTCTAGTAAACGTAAGTATACCGCGACGAGATTTGGATATGTAATAATCACGCATCGCTGCATAATGCGTTAGAGCATCTCCACCGCGCCCAGTAAATTGGCCAATCAGTAAATCTGTGTGCTGATTTACTGAAAATTTACTGAAATATTTTCGCACC